TAGGGAAAGTAGGTGTGAGTCAAACATTACTTGTTTTACTTCTCTAAAATGATTTGTCAAAAGACAAAAACAGGTAAAGATTCTACTGATTATTCACATGTGTTAATGATATAAGATATGTGTTTAACAAGTTCCATCTGTCAGAAATAATTTAACTACCCCCCCCCTCCAAAAAAGTGAGATGTTAGTGACCTGTAAGAATAATTTCAGTGTACAAATTTAAACTGAAGTAAAGATCTGAACTGAACAAAACAAAGAGTTGGAGGGAAAAAGAGAGTTGTAACATGTCTGCAAGCAGAAAAAAAGCATCTTTGTTTCAAACATTAGTTTCAAGGCACTAGCCAACTCAACAGGCGTATGCTCGTTTGTGTGTGAAAAAACATCAAAAAATGTGTGTACAGTACAAAAAGACTTTACAGAGACCCAACTCAGCAGGTAGATTTATGCTTATTATATTGTGGAATGTATATAAATAGGATTTAATGTCACAGAAAGAGTGACTCTGAGTGTGTGTAGAGGCTGTGTAGCGTCTTTGTTCTTCAGAGAGCACAAGCATTAGCAGACAACACCAGATGGTGGGCTCAAAGGAGGGGGAGGAGAAGATAGACAAGACCATTCCATCATTTCATCATCATCCTTATCCTGTTTCCTCTCTGTAAACAAAAACAAGCTGGCATACACCTTCACATCAAATCACTACAAGAAAAAAAACACTTCTTTGAAACCCTAGCCATGGTTTAAAGGTGTTAATGTTAGAAAGAGGAATTGTACACAAGTTTGTTGTTTAAAACAACCTTAAACTCTTTAAAAGATCTCAGGGATGACCAAAGGCACCTTCCCTAGTCAGTCACAAGGCCAAGGCCCTTGTCTTAAAAATGTTGTAAGGATTTTGATTTGAAGCTTTCACCTTTCTGGATCAAATATCACAAAGTACTTTACAAAAACGACAGAAAAGAAGACGGGCGAGAACTTTGTGTGAGTGCTGTTTATCTGACAAGAATACTGCAAAACCTAAACAATATTCCAGTTGCCAGCTGGATCTTGAGGTGTGAAAATACAAATGTGTGAAATTCACTCACTGTTTTGAATAGACTTTATTTGTGCCGTGATCCAAAGAAGGTGTGAGCCTATTACAGGCCCATCAACACTTAGCAATAGTAGAGAAAGCATTTGGTAAATGTGGCAGTTTATAAGTTCTACAACATCCCAGATTTTTTCATTCTTAAAAGACATTCTGCCTTTGCTAAATACCATCGCTGACAGTGTAACTGCAGAGATCTTCCGAGGCACAGAGTATGATATGAAAACCATTATTGATGGCCACTAAAACAGCAGGTAACGGATGACTCACTGTGTCACAAAATCACCCATCACACATACACACACACACTTATTTATTGTACCCCACACCACCACATGTAAAATTTCAATCAAGGAGTGTGTTCACAGCACCAACATGCAGAACTACAGCTGCATTTGTTCTTGAAAACTGTTGTGACGGTTGAACAAACACCATCAGTTAATTAGGCCAAGGTGAATTCCATTGGGGTGTACTGTCTGTCAGGAGGAGACAGTGAGGGCAGGAGAGAACACACAGGAACAAAAGTCTGTTAATCAAAACACTGTGCAGGGAAACAGTGTGGAACATTGTACAATGTCTCTCTTGCACAAACGTTCGAAACTCATTCAAACAAAACTGAACTATAACAGCGGCGTGAGTATGTTTGTACAATGCTAAATCCTCTGTTGTTTCTTTTAATCAAAGACCAGCAAAGCCAGGGTGGGTTTCTTGTTCTGTTCAGTCCCACATCTTCCTCAGTTCTTAGATCACCATTCCAAACATCCATTCAAGCACAAACACACACAAACCATACATGACGGACATGGCGTCATGCCTTGGATCTCTCTATAGTATATGAACTGGGAGACATAAGCAACAACTAAATATAATATATTAACGATCACATGTAAGTGAATAGATCAGCTCAAATTAATATTGTGGCACTAGTAATGCAATTTTAATTATTTCATGATTTAATGGTGTTCTCATGAATAAACTCCAATAAGCCTGTCTTTGCATTAGGGCTAAAGTTTTTGCACTGCCAAAATATAGGTCACACTCATTGTTGTGCCTGAACACATCCTGCGCAGACAGACAGTGCACTGCAGCTGCTGCAGCTCACAACACAGCTCCTGTGTACATGCAGTACAGTATAAGCACCGAGCATGCAAAGGATCCGAACACAGATTACATTTCATTAGATTTAATTAATGCACGAACAAATGACTGTAAGCACATATCCATAAAACCATGTACCTCCACACAAACACCAGTAGTGTCCTTCAACTGTCAACAGAGCCCTCAAAATAGACAACTCAGAAAACAATACTTTACCTATGGGAGACATTTTGGTGCATGGTTTTCTATGTAGAAGAACAATATTTAGACGTCTTTTCTTACTGTGTGTGTGTGTGTGTGTGTGTGTGTGTGTGTGTGTGTGTGTGTGTGTGTGTGTGTGTGTGTGTGTGTGTGTGTGTGCGCGTGTAGGAATAATACTGGACCAATGGGAGGTCAGTTTCCTGATTGGATGAGTGATATTTTGGTCTAGTACCCATGTGGTCAAGTTTTATGACAACCAACTCAAAGTTAAACAACTGTAGAAAGGTTGGCAAAACATAAAACCCACAAAATTACCTCTGAAGTTTAAACCAGTCATCAGGGCAAAATGACTATGTTTAGGCTGCTTGGTTCAGTAAAAATGAAGCCTGGTGTGTTTGCCGTTTAGTGTGGTACTTTTGGGATAGTGTGAACTCTGGTGCAGACTAAACAGAGCGGATGACTAATTGTCAGGTATTCATTGATGGGCTCGTTATGACACCAGAGAATGTTAAGTATAAACATAATAAGCAGTAAAATGCTGCATAAGGTTCATTTGTAAAAAGTCAGTGAGAACAAAAACCTGATGAGAATTAAAAGGCAACAATGCATCTTTTTTTTTCCTCACTTTCTCACTGCAGTTTCGAAAAAGCTATGGTTAACAACAGCAATCCGTCAGGGAGACAGAAAACGTCATGGCTCATTCTTAGGAGCTACCAAGAGAGTTTTCTAGCACAGTTTGCTGTGTAGCAATATGGTGGAAGACAAGTGTAAGAAGCACTGCTGTACTGGAGAGGTGCTACATGTAACAGGATAACAAGCAGAAGTGTTCAGCAACACCTGTAAAAATCAAAAAGGTATCCTTGGTCATCACACTAAGAGGACTACCATGAGTTCAGACATGCATAGAAGGACAAACTCTGGACTAGATTCAACACACACAGATGATCCAAACCGTTAACGCACATACATAACCCAGCACACTGCTTCCTTTCCTGTCTAAAGAAACAATTTCCTATGGGGATCAGGGTCGCATGCACATGTCTGTGTGTGAGGCTTCCTGGCAGCTGCTGAGGAAGCATCAGTCAATAAGAGCGGAAAGAAACACAGAAGGCAACATAAAAAGAGAAGAGTGAGAGATGGAAAAACCGAATCAAAGACATGAGTGATGGGTGGAGAGGAGACAAAAGCAAATTACACCAAATTTAAAAATGGTTGTTTCATTAAATTCTAAGAAAGTAAGATGTCATTTGTTTTCCTTCTGTAAAAACAAAGC